AGTAATTCTGAAATATTGATGAGGGAGACATCTTTGGAGTCAAGAGCTCTAATGTGGAAAATGGTAAATTGTCAGGGTAAAAGTCCCATATATTTAACTTTGCCTAAAGCACATACTTAAGTGATTCACAGCCAGAGCCTGGAAAATGACTAAGATCTACAAGAAACCATCCTGGCAGTGGCTTCTCCTCATTTATTGTTAAAAGAACATCTTTAATGTTCCCACTAATCCCAAAGCTGGCAGCAGGTATCCTTGGAAAGAGTCCAGGTCCCAGGAACCAACGTTCCAACTGTATTAAAGCTTGTCCGCTTGAAAGCTTATTAAAAACCAGTGCTCATCCCACAGCAGCACAGTTTAGCTGAGCTGCACACTGGGAACGCATTGAATAGGCTGCAGTATCCTGTGCTAGCACTAGTTTGCAAATGGTCACATCCACAGTGACACAATCCCAGACTAACCAGGACATGGATGTTACTGACAAAAGCAAAGAGGTTCTCATTCCTTTGGCAAGAGGAGGGGAATGGAAAGCAGGAGCCCAGCACTGTGTTACCCTCTTCCATACCTGGCTTGCCAAGTGGCAATTCATCTGTTCAGCACCCACTCGCACCATGCACAAAGAAACAGGTCAGGGAATTTAGTCTGAAAATTTGGGAACAAAAGAATGTTTCATCACAGTGTCTCAGCTGCAGTACTACAAGTAAGAGCTGTGAGGTTTCCTCTGGGTTTTTTTGTTTGGGGGTGGTTTTGCAGGGTTTTTTTAAGGGGTCGGCAATATGTTTTTAAGCATTGCTGCACCACATAAGCACTTCAAATAGTTTCAGTGCAAAATTTATCATTAATTTAACAGTTTGTTAATATATTATTAATTTAAATTACAGACTAATCTTACTGTCACCACACAAAACCAGCAGAGGGGTGCTCATCTCTTAGCTGAGACTGGATCCTGACTTTGTGGACAAGCCTGCTACATGCTAGTATCAAAGACGCACTTTTAAATGTTAACAGGCACGGCATATAAATTGCCATATCACGGAAAGCGTTCTCTATTTTGAGCCCATTACTTGAAGAAATCTTCCAAGCACACTGCTAAGTCCATCCTCTCCTTCCTCTTGCTACTGAAGCAGCAGATTGATGAAAGCAGATACACGGCCAGTCTTCTGCTTATGCTTATTTTTAGTGTGGAATAAGCACTTTCAGTACAGGAAGAAGTCCAATAGCTGGATATCATAAAGTGGAAAAAATACTAGGAAAAACAGTCAGCAAAATGTGGTATGTTTCAAGCATGCTTGATAACTAAATTCAAAATATTATTAAAACTATAATTGATGCACTTTGTGGTAATTACATGAAGTGTTCTTATTTCCTTCCTGCTACAGTCAGAGCATGAATAAACAATCTGCTTTCAATTGCTGTCAGTCATGAAATTAAAAAAAAGCTGAAGAATATGCAAGTCAAATAAGAAATTTTAAAAAGACTGACATTAATCTGCTGAAAAATTTTACTGGTGTGTTTCAAAGACTTACAGAAAAGCTAACTACTCAAGCACAGTGCTATTCAAAGACAACAAATACAATCAACATCTCCCTTGCTCTAATGGAAATGGTGAATTGGCTTTCATGCAACCAGTGAAAGAAAAAAACACAGCTAAGAGAGTTAGCTGTTTAAATAGTTAAGTTATTGCTAAGATTTGTATGCATTTCTTTTGTAAAAGATGAACCAGGACTAGAAAAAACACAAGAGACAGTTACTGTCTTCCTACAGATTTTACTGTTTTGTACAGAATATACTCACTTTATGCAAATCTTACATGAATTAGGATTCCTCGATTCCATTAGGAAGACAAATTTCAGTCTAAGTTTATGTGGTTTTAATAGCCATTAAGTTTTACTGCCTAGTTTGCGGATGCTAGGAAGAAAGGAGTTACTTTAAGCCATATTTTGTTTCTGATTACAGAAGTCAAGACCTCAAAAACGTCCAAAACATTACCTACTTAAAAGCTAACTTCATTAAGGCATCTTTAAAACCCCCAAAAGCAGAAAATGGCACTTAGATGGAGGACAATTACTTTCCCAAGCGATGAGCTTTCTCACCCTTTAAAAAAATGCTTATCCTATGAGAGAAATGTAGCAAAGAATAGATTTTTCTGCCAAAGTACTATATTCTTTAGCTTCCTAACCACCCCCAAGCACCTTCACTCTTATAATAGCTAGTATATGAAATGAAAGCAAGCATGTTATTTAACCAACTCTGCATGTGTATCTGTACACATCTAAATCTAGGGAAACATAAAACATTCAGAAACACCTATCATTTTAAAGGCACAGTAGGAGAAACATAATAAATCTGTCCAGCCATCCAAGCAGGAGTTAAAATTGATGATTTAACACCGATATTCCTGAAGGCTAATATTACAGGTATCCTGGAACAGAAACGCACATCTAAGAACAAGCATTAACATCACTTGTTTTGTTTTGGATCAGAATATACACACTATTCAAGTCCCAACTTGCAAGCTTAACTTTGCACCAATATGCCCCTGTCTTGCCAAGACAAAACACTAGGTAGAATGCCTTCTGTTACCCAGGCTATTCCCAGGGACCCTGATTAAAAGAAAGAATCTGACAGATATAATTCTGTCTTTCATCCTGCATGAAATATGTGCCTTCTAAATTCAGCTCAAACTGAGCGGTTTCAAAACGACAAACCCAAAGGTTTCCATGGACAAGGCAGCACAGGCAGCCCCTGCACACCTTTTGTAGGATTCTCACCAACACGGCTCGACAAGGTTCCATTGGGAAGACCTCTCAGACTCTGCCTCAAGCTTTTGGTCTCTTCCTCGGATTATCAAAAGATAGCCAATTGTGATGGTGGTTTTTCTGCTGGAAGAAAACTTCATGCTGGACTGAGACCACCAACTCATTTCACATAGGTCAGAAAATGAGATGGTAATAGTTTTGTGCAGTTGCCACCTTAAACTGTATTTGAGCTACAGACCTAGATGTGAAAGGCTCTGTAATAAATTACCAATCTCCTGAGCCATCCAGTTAACAACATGCATGGTTTTCTTTTTAAACTCAATTATGCTTAAGTTTGTAAGTTTTCTTGAACTGTAAAAAGTAAAACATCATAAAAATTTAGATTCTTGATGACAGGTCATTTGTTTTCTGTATGCCTCAAATATACTGAAGAGTACTATTGCAAGCAGAACGTTAGAGTAAGACGTTACATTTTGGTTTAAAACAGAGTATGTCTAAGTAGTAATATGCACTATATATTTCTACATTATGTTTTGCTCCACTATTTCATGAGTCATGACAAAGCCACTGCAATCTTTTTGACTTTTTCCCCTGTGTTGCGGCTTTGTTCCATTTCTAAAACCAGGAGCAAATTAGAAACAATATCCATACAATTATTTTAATAAAGCAAAGCTTCCTTGCATTTCAGTTCTGAAAATGTTGTTTATCAAAGACAAATCTTTTCCCATCAGTTTAAACAGAGAATGGCAGCATGTAAAAGCATTTATTGGGCATGAAAATAGAAGACAAATAACTAGTCATTGACTACCTTTCACGGAACACTATTAAAGCTATTTCAAAGACAAAAAGAGACTCTGGAAGAGTAATAAGGAAGCCAGACTTATTCCACAAGCACAGAATAGCACTGGTAATACTGACTCATGGGAATGAAAGGTCAAACTAATGATACTCTCATGCATTAATGAAATTTCAGTAATTCAAAGCATCATATATAGACAGTATCATACTTTGATAGCATTTTTATCAATTTACTTCTAAGAATAAGAGCTACAGACAACTGGGTGAGGAAAACTACCCAATTTTAAGACAACAGACAGAACCAGCCGAGTCAACTACGGGCTTAATTCAAAGGCAAATATATAATAACTGGTGAGATTCACCAATTTAAAACATGTAATAGAAGTTGCTGGTTAAGAAACACTAACTCAGGTTCAAAATGTTTTGCTTCTATACTGTAGCTTGGGTAAACATTAGTTTATTTGCAGAAGTCTTCAAAGTTGGCATGGCTATATTTCTGATAGGTTATAAATACTAGGAGAAGATAACGGCTTTCAAAAGTTACCTTCATAAGTAAAACTGATAATTTTAGGGAACTTTTAATTTTTCAGCAGTTCTTACAGCCAATCATCCTCTCCCCCACCTACACACATGCCGTATTTAGTTATTTATCTTGCCTGCAGTGATACTACCAGAGGCATTTTCTGTACCTCAACACGCCTGTTATTTAAATGAACACTTTTAAAAATAGTTGATTTAGAAAATCAAAAAAGGAAAACAGCCGTCTGATATACTTTGCTGTCATAAGCATATCAGATCACAGCCAGCTTTTAAAATTTGCTCTACCATCAAGACTGTCTGACTACAGCATAAAAATATATTTTTATTAATACATGCCCTTAGCACAAAGATTTTTGTTTCCCAGCGACTTTTCATAAAAAGCAATCCTTGCCCTCAGTCATCATCCCAGTGCTAAAACCCATTGCGGATCCACTTACCAAATCCCTGTGTAACACCCAGTTAGCATGCAGGTAGTGAATACCATCTAGGATCTGATATAACAGTGACTTCACCATTCCCCGAGGTAACTGAACTGGTTTCTTGTTTGCTTTAGAAGCCCTGTGAAACTTGATTATATGCTGTAGAGGGGAAAAAAGAAATAGAAATAAAAATTAAAAAGTAATGTTTTGATCTACAACATTACACAAAAAAAAAGCCAGCAATTCCTTACACAGGCTTCTTAGGTTTTATTCAACCTTTCATCATTCATTTTGAAGACTTGAAACATGTACCTTAAGTACTAGAAAATTAATACTACATGAGGTAAAGTGATCACCACCCCAAGGAAATCTCTCAAAAATGAAAGTAGTTGTTGCTGTGATTTAACCCTGGCAGGTAGCTAAGCCCCACACAACCGCTCACTCACTCTCCCACAGCGGGATGAGGAATACAAACCCAATACAACTGTCAAAGCAAATTCCCTTGCAGATCACTGATCTTTAACAGTTTGGAGGTTTTAGGAGTATTTTTGTTTGGGGGTTCTTTTTGCTAAGATAGGCTGATACCTTGTATATCACAGCACAGAATTAAAAGTGCATCACTCAACTCCTGTATTATTTTACTTCTTGGTTTTCTCCTACAGTAATAATGACACTGTAATATTCAACACCTAATGCCAGACAAATTGTTGCAAACTGTATGGGGAGTTTTAAATGTTTAAATTAGAAGCCCAGATTTATTCCTTCTTTATTTACTAAAAGCACAGTACTCTCAAAACAGAAGCTGTTGGCAGAGCAAAGCTAGAAATCTGTCCATCTGAAAGTCAGCTACCAAGCCAGACACGGAAAAAACCTTTAACAATTATAAGCGTACACACAGGCAACGACACCTAGCAACAATGAGGAGTCCCAAAAGGACACGTTGTCTTACCACTTGAGTGCCAGGTGCCACTAATTTCAATAGCATAAGGTGTGCCACAGTCATGGTAACCATTTCTGTGTTTGCCTCCTTTTGAGAGACAGGTAATTTCTAGAACAAACTTTTTCATGTATTCACACTTCTCTAACAACTCACACTTATGTGATCACGCAAACAGCCCTGATCTTGTCCATCCAAAACCTGGCACCAAAATTCTATCACGTGTTCTTTCTACATTCCTGAGCTTTCCTATTCCGGGTGTGAATTAGGGACCCAACTACTCAAACCCCTTTGGCAAATTGCCTTTCCTCTCTTGCTGCAGCCCAGCTCTGTACAGCTTGCCCTCCTTTGCTTCAGGTATCGAGCTTGGCTTTCCTGGGAGGAAAAGGCACATCCCTGCTCTGCCAAAGGTAAAAATGGAGCTGCATGGAGGAGAGAAACATTGATGAGAAAGTGACAGTCCCTGCCCAGTCAGCCAAGCACCACGTGCACGAGCACCCCGAAGCCCGAGCCACAAGTTTTGCCTCCTCTCGCCTCCCACTTCCACTGACTCTAAAGCAAGTGTTTTTCATGCAGTGAAACCTTCACAGACAAACAAAAAGACAGGTGGCTCTCCCCCGAAGCCCGAGCCACAAGTTTTGCCTCCTCTCACCTCCCACTTCCATTGACTCTAAAGCAAATGTTTTTCATGCAGTGAAATCTTCACAGACAAACAAAAAGACAGGTGGCTCTCATGGACCTTTTTGTTCCTGCTCTGATATACTCTGTGCCCTTTTCCCAGCCTTGTTTGAGACCTGCTGCGCTAGATACGCTCAGCACTGGAGGACTTGGTCCATAGCCGGCTGCCTGGGGCACGGAGCCAGCCCAGTCACTGCAGCTACGTCTGCTGCATCCAGAGACAGTGAACAACCAGGAGCTGGTACAGCTGGGGAGTTCTGGAGTTATACAGGTATGCGGATGTAAACATAAAGGTCAAAATTGTGGGCCGTTCCTAAGTTACTGATATTCAAACCACTGTTTCGTTAACAGAGACGCTTCTGCAGTGATTTTGGTTAAGTATGAAGCAATGCGGAAAAGTAAAAATACAAACAAGGCCAGGTCACTATTAGTCACAATCCTCCAAACAAACGCAAAGCCTTGCGGCACATTCCGGGAAAAAAAAAAAAACAAAACAACACACTCACACATTCCTGAACTTCTGTAGCTTAGCATATCACAAATATCAGGGAACAGAAAAAAAAAAAGAATGGGCTTGTTTTTTTTCTCCACATTAGAAAAAAGCTTTACTCCATTTCCTCAAGGGTTTTTTGTTTTGTATGTCAGCCTTAAGAATGTCTCAACATTTCAACTGTTTGGTAATTTTTTTTCCTTAATTTTATTTTGGCAATGAAAACTCAATACCAACTATGGGAACTTCCAAGACATTGAACTAGGAGAAAATACCTTCGATTCACCTTAGCTGAAGGAAAATGGACACACTAGTTCTTAGGCAAATACTGCTGAATTATTCCCAACTACAAGGAACACCATTTTCAAAAGAAATTACTTTTAATTTGGTTTTTTATACCTCAGCTGCCTGTCTAAACTACATGCAGATGGAAAACCAACTCATGATTCATACTACCCAAGTCTTACATGAACACATAAATCAAAATTTCCACTTCATTCCAAATTGCCTCTGTTGTATCCTTTGATACGAATCTTCTTAATATCTTTTAAGGTTAGTATTACAATACTCGTTCCACTGAGAGCAATGCTCAAAATATAGGTCAGATTTAATTTGAGGCAAACACATACCTTTTTTCAGGGAAGTCAAGGTTGTATGGGATTTTGGATTCTTTACAATGCTACTTTAATTTTTTTTTAAAGCATTCCAAATGGGTGTTAAGGTTATAAATACTAAGTTAACAGAGGAAAAGAGTATATATCTTAAAACAAATTTACTTTGCCTTCAACATGTTTATATTTTAAAGCTGTGCCTTGTAATTAGGAATAAACAACCTTCCTCCCAAATATATGACATTTCAGCAGATGAGTTGAGTAAAAAGCTCTTCCCACTGAAACATGAATTAAATTTCAATTAAATACAGTGGCATTACTCTCCACTTCATGTATTCACGGATGACATGCAATATAACTAAAACTCCAAGCTGTCCTATTCAGCCAGTAAGTTTGTCATTTTTCAAAAGGAATCCACCTGCATCATCAATTACATTTTCCTGCACTCTACTTTAGCTGTAATGGAGGGTTATATCTGCATTTATTTAACTAGATTTCTAGCTACTGAGAGCTGAATGCAGATTTTTATCTTCTTAAAGAGGTCACAGATTAACTGTGTAGCATGCTTACCCAACATTTTCCATTACTTTTCCTTTAGTACTGAAAATGTTTCCAACAAACACAGGGCAAAAGGCCATACTGTTTTTAAACCAATGCGTCTTCCCTGACCTTGTCCCTTTTCTGCAACTAAAACTCTAAGCCTGGTACCTACAAGCAATTCACCTTACCCAGAGGTCATGCTCAGCGTAGTCAAAGAGAAGCCACACTTTCCTGTCAGCATGAGAAAGAAACACCTTTTGCAGAGAAATGACATTTGGATGCTTCAGCTCCCGCAGCAACTGCAAAATAAAGAAAGTCCACAACAGTTATATCCACACATCCAAAGCTTTGAAAGGGCTGGCAAGATGAATACTTTAATAGTCTTTGCTACATATTCTACAATACAAACAAGAAAAGTTGAAACCTGCAAGTCACGGAAAAGAGCACATATTTTTTTAATGAAAGAACCAGTCATTAGTTTGAAAGCAAAGCTGAAAGCAGGTCATAGCCCCTTTAGGGCATTCACTTCCTATTAATTTCCTAAAAGTTGAAGTCTACGTAAGCCTCACTATTATCCAGGACGACGAAGACTCTGCAAACAGCCAGCTGTGGCATCTGCCCTTTCCCAGAGGCTGTAATCTTTGATAGAGCTGCTTGGGGTATCCAATTTTCTCCTGACTCCCAATTATCTGAAAACCCTGCATTTTGGTTGCAGCCATTCAAGGCTGAATGGGATGACTCACTTCTGTCAGTGCAGTCAGCTAAATGAATATGTGGTTTGTAAGACAGAGTCAGCTGCTCTACAAGGTCACCACCACCTACAGAAGAAGGTCCGACTCCCTCCCACAACATATATTACACCAGTTATGTCACTCACAGAAGCCATCCACGAAAGATGCTCCCAGTTCAGGAGCATACTAACCCAGACACACAAAGGCGTTAATTTTCTGCTGAGTTCCTGAGCTGAAATGACTCACGGCACTAACAGCAGACCCAGCTAGGAGCAAGAACGTCTTTCAGCAGCAGTGAGCCATTAAACTAGCTCAGCTGTTTTAGAAACTACAGCTTTAACCAGCACCAAAAGGAAAACGTAGCTGAGATAGAACACAAAAACTGAATGCGGACAGCATCAGTCTATTTAAGCTCATGTTACAACTATACTGTATTCACACAATTGCTACGAAAGAAACAAAAACTTTATCCGAGCAAACTATTGTCAAGCATGGCTACCCAAGACTAGAATTCTTGCCAGCTCCATCTGCCAGAAATGATGACATTTTTAATAAAAGGAATGGCTAGGGGTTTTTTTAAAAGCCAAGGACAATTTGAACTACTATTTGAATGGAGAACAGAAAATTAACATTTTATTTCTGAGATTGACTATTTTCAATAAAATATAATTTTCCTGCTACGTAACAGAGGAAAGAAGAAAATTCATTCCTTTTTACTGATACCTTTGTCACATGTGATAACATTTTAGCTGCTGCTGATAGTAAAATGAGAGTGGATATCTGCGTATCTTTGTTTCCTTCTTTTGTATTTCATTTGAGACAGACTCCTATCCCTACTCACTGAACAAAGTCTTCAATGTGGCATTCCTTGAGCAAGAGGGCCTAGCCCACAGAGCTTTTGTCTCAAGTATGAGACCGGACAGGGAGACAGAGGGCTGAGGAGATAATGTAACACTGCAAATCAATGCAGAAGGTAGTAGTTTCAGCATGTTAGACCTCTTAAGATTTGTAAGAGCATTACATAGAGGAATTTTAAGGCAGGATCTGCAATAAGTGCGGAATTCTGCAAATGCCTATAATTCCTACGATGCATAAGATCAGCATGGAGAAAAA